GATATTGAAATAGGAGCAAAGCAAAGCAAAGCAAAAAAAAAAAAAGAAAAGAAAAGAAAAGAAAGAAAGGAAGATAAAGGAAAATTAAAAATGATAGTAACAGCAGAAAAATATGTTAGAAGTATAACGTGGTAGATATATTATAACGTAGACGTTAGATATAGATATAATAATATTACTTAGAATTAACGAACTACCTAACGGATGAGGTTTCAGTAATAAACTTTAAAGAACAAATTTTAATGATAAAATATTGTGTTTGTGAAGGAAAAACTCTATTTTAATATTTCTTTTTCTTCTATTTTATATCCTTTCATATTTAAGATATATATATATATATATAAATATATATGTAATCCTTTCGTTAACATATATTCATTTAAAAATATGAAATTCTCTATAGTGAGAAAGGAATAATGAGAGAGAGAGAGAGAGAGAGAGAGAGAAAAAGAGAGAGAGAAAGAGAGAGAGAGAGAGAAAGAAGAGAGAAATAGAGAGTAAAAGAGAAAGGAAGAAAAAGAGAGAGGGAGAGAGAGAGAGAGAGAAAGAGAGAGAGAGAGAGAGAGAGAGAGAGAGAGAGAGAGAGAGCATTCAAAGCCGTCTACCATTGTTCACAGGAGTTACAGAGGAGATTGGATCAGACCCTGGGTAAGCCAGGCAGCTACCTGGCAGGCATCGACCGGGCTGGCAACGTGAAACCCATGACGATCGGCGCGCGCCTTTATCGAGTCGAGCAGCAGGTGAATTATAAAAATTTCCTTCCTTTCTTTCTTTCTTTCTTTCTTTCTTTTTTTCTTTCTTCCTTCCTTTTTTTTTTTCTTCTTCTTCTTCCTTTCTTGCATCTTCCTTTCTTTCATTTTTCTTTTTCTCCATTTCTATTATCGTTTTCTCTTCATTCATTTATTATTTCCTTTACTTATACGATTTCTCTTTTACTCTTATAAGTTATGAGTAATGAGTATTCATCCAGGATTTTTGATATACCAAAAGAGGAATTAGAGAGAGATGGAGAGAGAGAGAGAGGGAGAGAGAAAGAGAGAGAGAGAGAGAGAGAGAGAGGGAATGATGTACGTCCATCCATCTTGATTCCAACAATTTCCCAGTAGAATTCTCGAAGGTCCTCGTTAATGTTCTCCCCTACCATGACGAAAGTTACACACCGGTAGAAGCTTTCCGTTAATTACCACGCCAATCCTTTCCAACGTTTCGTCCCTCTTCCACTTCATTTTCGATCCCCTCAGAAAAGTCGTACGTTCGTTGGTTCGTTGGTTCGTTCGGTCGTTCGTTCGTCCTTTGTGAGAACTTTTAATCGAGCAAGGACAATGTTTAACACGTACGAACGATCCACCTCTTTTAATATTATATCTACATTCTTCTCTTCTCTTTATTAATTATTCAGATTCTTTCTGAACGAGCTAATACTTTTGGGACATATCTATCTTAAAATCACTTTTAATAATTTATACTCCATGTATATATATATATATAATATGTGTGTGTGTGTGTATATATTTAATCCTTAAGTAGTATCATGAAGTCATGAATAATAAATTTGTATCATTTTAAGATCATTTTGAACGTGAAAAGTCACAGTAATTTCGACTAAGTCCTGGATTTTATAATATCAAATAATAATAATAATAATAATATTAATAATAATAATAATAATAATTATAATAATAATAAATATTCTTATCAAAATGAATAAGATTTTAAGATGTTTTTGATATCGTTTAATAATTAATTTAATATTTCAATTTATATTACAGTTGAGACGATTGTTCTCAAAGAATTATAATCGACAATTCCATTCGAACAATTTTCACCCTATAACTGAACATCGTTTATTTCTTTTCCTTTCTTTTCTTTTTCTTTTCTTTTTTTTTTTTTTTTTTTGTTCCTTTATAATTTTCATCCTACGCTTAGAACAAGAGGAGGGAAGAAAGGAACCACATAAACATTATATCTCGATCCGCTTTTTGATTGCAGCTGTCGGTGATGGATAAAAAATTGGACCAACTGGTATACGTGCTGAATGCGGTGGCTCAGAAACAGCAGATCCCCCTGAGGAGTATTGAAGACGATGTGTAACAGAAAGCCCCCGGCGAATTCGTGCCACCCTTTTTGCGGGTATCGATGACGAGCCCATGGATATTGCCACGAGTGACCATAACCAATGTTGTACCTAACATGCTTAGCAAGAGCAGCTGACTCGGCATTATTCCGATATACGTCCGTTACTGGGACCTTTCTCTCGACTCGTGTGTATATATATATATATATATATATATACACGAATAAATAAATAAATATATATATATATATATATATATATATATATATCTTATTTCCGTTCTACTTCCTTTCACAAAGAAATCAAATTGATCGGAGAAAGGAAAAGAAGAAAGAAGAACCAGCTCGTCGATTTTCATCCTTCTCTGAAAATTAAGTCTTTGTTTCATTAAACTTACGAGACGAAGGTATGAAAAAAAAAAAAAAATAATAAGAGGAAGAAGAAAAAGATTTTAGAGCTTTTTCGATACACGCACAGGAGTCAGTTAATATATTTATATGAATATGTATGTATAGAGAGAAAGCGATGTACAAGTTTACGAGAGTTGAACAAATGAGAGAGAGAGAAAGAGAGAAAGAGAGGGGGGAAAGAGGAGAGAGGGAGGGAAGGAATGAGGATGCGTTAACTTTCGACGATTGATTTAAATATCATTTCAAATTTTTATCTAATATGAAATAATTTCGAAACTTCTCAATATTTTCATCGTACGTACTTACGTATTTACGTGTATATATAATTTATATATATATATATATATATATATATATATATGTATGTATGTATGTATGTATGTATGTACGTATGTATGTATGCATGTATATAAAAACAGTTTCGGATTTCTTTTAAGTAAGTGAGAAGATCGTAGAAATTCAAAACTTAAAAAAATGAAATAAGAATATATATAAAATTAAAAATAAAGATAAAATCTTTCCAACGGTCGGATATACATGTCAATTTATTTCTTTTAATAATTAAGTAAAGTGCACAGTATAAAGTAACCTCAGAGTATATTTTATATATACTCTTACTATATATATATATATATATATATATATATATATATAAAAATATATATATAAAAATGCGAAAAAGAAAACCAGAAAATGATAACAAGAAAGAGAATTCAATTATTTTAATTAAAATTCACGCTCTCGTTCGTCGTATGATATAAAACAAAAAAACTTTCGTAATTTTATTCCGAAAAATAAATTATAATAAGAAAAACGAAAGAAAAACATACTCTTTTTCTCTCTCTCTCTCTCCCTCTCTCTCTGCCTCTCTTTCTCTCTCTCTCTCTCTCTGCCTCTCTCTCTCTCTCTCCCTCTCTCTCTCTCTTTCTCCATCTCTCTCTCTCTCTCTTTCTCTATCTCACGCACACATACACACACATAAAAATACAAAGATACTTTTCATAATACATAATTTCAAATAACGTACGATTCTCTCCATTTTTTTATTGCGTTTCCATTTTTTTTTTGTGTCACTATGCAAAGCTTTGTCCATTAAGGCACTATTGCTTAGAACAGATTCTACTGAGAAAAACTTGATAATAAGAAAGAATATTGCGTATATAAATAATAATATATAAGTAAATACATACTCTTATACGCATTATATATATATATATATATATATATATATATATATATATGTATATATATATATACATATATATATTCATAGTAATATTATTAGTCTTCGATACGAATTTATAATTATTCTTATTATGATTATTATTATTATGAAATTTATTATTATTATTGTTATTATTATTGTTATTATTATTATTATTATTATTATTATTATTATTATTATTATTATTATTATTATTATTATTATTATTATTATTATTATTATTATTATTATTATTGTTGTTGTTGTTGTTGTTATTGTTATTATTGTTATATTATTACTATTATTATTCCTGAAAATTTATATCATCATCACTCAGGAGTATAAATTGTAGAGATTTTAATATTTAAGGATAACCTTAAGGGGAAAAGAACTTTTGTAATATATCTGCAATAAGAAATCGCATTCTTCGTGCATATAAATACATACATACATATACACATATACATACGTATATTAACATAAATAACAATATAGGTTTATATTTTGTACATATATTGATAATTACGGCACACAAAATAAAGAATCGACTTCGTAAGACGTATAACGTTGCGTTACGTTAATTTCACATGTACCTCGATGTACTTTTATTTAAAAAAAAAAAATAGATATATACGCATACGTATACGTCTTAAGGAACACATGCCGATTAATAGTAGCATAATAGTCTCGAATGACAAGTAGATAGCGTCGTACGTTTATTATTATTTATTATTATTATTTATTATTATTATTTATTATTATTATTTATTATTATTATTATTATTATTATTTATTATTATAATTTATTATTATTATTTATTATTATTACTATAATTATTATGATTATTATTAATTATTAATCGCGTTATACATACCTATCACCTTATACATATTATTATATACCAATAATAAAACTAAAAAGCTATGTAAATATATACACTCACGATAATCGTAGGAAATTTATTATTAAATTAAGAGAGGCTTTAAAGAATATTTTTAATCTCACGAGAGCAAACATTTCTTTTTATATACATATGTACGTACGTATATATTACACACATCTTATATATCCGTATAGTGTTGTGTGCATATATAAGTATATATATATATATACATATATACATATATATATATATATATATATATATATCGGCGTATATAGGGTCCAAAGTATAACACAATTGCGTAACATGTAACATAACTATGATGTTGTATCAAGGGAGAAGAATGGCAAGTATCGTGTTCAACAATTGGAACACATTAATACCTCCAAATAATGTAAACATGTTGAAATTGTTTTGCAAATTGGACACGATATATTGCCAAGTTTCTCAACGTCTTTAAGAGGGTCCATACGCCAGAATTTCGTCTCTATGTAATTACACATTCCTCCTCAATTCTCCGAAACAAAACTAGAAAGGAAAACGAAAAGAAATAAAAAGAAGAGAAAAACGAGAAAGAGAGAGAAAGAGAGAGAGAGAGAGAGAGAGAGATTTTACTACGTTGTTCTTTCGAGGATCGTTCGATTGAAATAGTAGAGCAAAAATAAAGGGAAAAAAAGCAAAAAAAAAAAGAAAGAAATTAAAAAAAAAATGAGATTAATGTAAGACGCAGCAAACGGCGTATTATAGTTTTTAATGAAATATGAATAATAATAATAATAATAATAATACTCCGTACACGATCACGCTTATATTATGAGCATGTGCGCGCGTATAAGATGCACATTTTACGGTGCCTCTTACTTTAAATTTATTTCCACTACGTAACGCAAATCGATTTTGTAGAGAAAGAAATTTTTAGACGGTCCAATAATAATAAAATAAATTATTTATATAAGGTAGAAGAAATAAAATTTTAAGGGAAAAAAAAAATAAATAAAAAAGAAAGAAATGTAGAAAATACGGACGACAATGAAATTTAGGGCTACGTATATAGGTACTGTACGCCATGTGAAATTTGACATTATTATGAAGATCGACGAATTGATCAACATAAATAATCGTGTCCGTCGATCCGTAAAAACGAATATAAATCAAACAAAATTTGATCAATTTACGAATGAATTTTCAACTATTCGAACGTACGAAACGAAAACATTAATAGCGACGATTATATTGGACAATCTTGCAAAAGTATTTATAATAATATCGAAAAAATATTTTGCAATAGAACTTTCGATTATCCAATCAAATTAAATCATTTTAAATATACTTTGTTATAAATATATTGTTAATAAGTTAAATTATGATTCTGCGATATTATTTAAAATATTTTAATTTTATCGTTATATCGAATTATTGTAAAATTATTTTATTTGTTGCTTTTTTTTTTTTTTTTTTTTTTTTAACGTTAGATCGAATCGTTATGAAACTTATTTAATTTTTTATCAAAATTAATAAGCTTCACGTTATCAAAATAATTATTTATTTTAATAGAAAAGTAATAAATATTTTATAATAATAGAAAATTTGTTTAGATAATGATGGTTCTATTGTATAGCTTCTTAAACGTTATCGTAGCATTGAAAAAGATAAAATCGTGACACTTACATACGTATGATAGAGTTAGTACGAGTAGAGACAATCAATAACCATCGTTATCATCGATAGGTTTCTTTAGATAATATAAAAATTTTATTTTATAAAATATCGAAAAGGTGAAAAAGAAAGGGTAAAAAAGTATAGATACACATGTATTATATTCGAATGCAAACCCAACAAAAATATTGTAACGGATATAGAAATTTATTTTTAATCTTGTTTATAAATTTGATTTTCAAAACGCTTCTCGTTCGAATTAGACGATAGACTATATATAGTAGTGTATCTATGAGGAAAAAAAAAAATATATATATATACATGTATGTATGTATGTATATACATGAAAGAAATATGATTCTGTATGAAGTCAGTAATCAAATTTAAACTTTATTATAGTTCGTTCGAATAGAGAGAGAGATTTTATTTCTTACGATTCGAATAATTAGATACAATCGCTTTATTGTTAGACGAAAATTGAACAAAAAGAAAAAAAAAATTATTATTATTATTATTAGTCAAAAATTGCTTATTTTTCTCCACGCTTATCTCGAATTATTCGTATATAATTAAAGAAAAAGATAAATTAATCGTTGTAATAACATTTTGATGATAGCTTTGTGATATATTGCTTCTTGCTTCTTATGTGCAGTAAACTGATTTAAAAGCTATCGAATTAAACGGCGTTTAAATTAGATGATCGATCGATTGATTAGCAAAGTGATAAATAATCGTTATTTAATTTTAAAGTAGAACGAGATCGTTAAAGTTTTTTTCTTTTTTCTTCTTTCTATTGTCATATATATATATATATATATATATATATATATATATATATATATTTATATACATTCTTTTGGTATTTTTTTTTTCTTACATTCATTTTACATGCAATATGTGTAATATGCGTACGATAATCGAAACAACGAATCTTTTGTCTGATTCTAAAAGGAAAGGGAATACCTTTCGTCGTCAAGGAGCAATATATTAAAATAATCGTGGACGTGGATTCGTTTTGAAATTTTATCTCGGTGCTTCGTTCTCTCTTTGCATGATTGACATACCTATGTATACATATATGTATACATAAGTATATATATACACTTATAAAGGATCTCAAAATGCAAGTAGTGTTCGTGAATCGGCCGATAATAATGCGTGTAATGAGCGTGCATGTGTGTGTATATATATATATACATATATATATATATATGTATGTATGTAACATATATATATATATATATTTACATATATATATGTAAATATATATGT